AGGTGCATGACAAGAGACAATGCAAGTAAAGCTCCCTGAGTTTCAGCTCAACGAAGGCAACGCGGTACCTAGACATCCACGCTACCTGGTTTTTATGATTCCAACAGTTAAGCATTAAGCATCGGCAGAAATGGTACACCTGGGACCGTTTGTGTAGGGCTTTTACTTCCATTGTACAAGCTTCTTCCGCGAAAGTGTATTTGACACCAGACTTACATAATTAAGGCACTACAATGAGTTATCACCGCGCGGAATATGGAGTTACGCCGAGGCGTGGTGATTTGGACTCAATCTGAACCCCTTGCCTAGATCTCCCCGACTTGTGCGTTCTAGCTCCCGCTAGTTGGAAAGTAATAGCAGGATCGTAACTATAAGCTAGGCTGACATTGTGTTTATAGCATGATCTCCATTAGCAAGAGGATCAGAGTCGTTATAATATATTACAAACGATAGCGACATAATATTCTGTAAGCGACGAACGCAGTGACTCTGAGCACTGCTTCTTCGACGCCTGCCGGGGGCCCATTCATCCCGCTTCCGCACCGGTCAGAATCACGGCGTCAAGTGAATAATTGCTGTCATCCCGTGAGGCTTGCGCTATAGGTATGACTTCATACCTACTAGTGATGCCATCGAACCGCCCACCCCAGGCTCACACGCGACGAGGCCCGCCATGCTGCTCCAAAACTCGACAAACGCATCCTCGCCGCCCCTGTCCGTCTTGTTGTTCGTGCGCTCGCCGAGGCCGCTCGCCTCGACGTACCACACCCGCGCGTTGTCGTACTCGCCCTCGACGCGGTGCAGGATCCCGTGCAGGTGCTGTCCTGCGCGCGCGTTCTGCATCTTCCGCACGAGGAAGTGCGCAGGGTAGAGCGCGTGGTTCAGCAGATGGAACGCCGCCTCGAGCGCGGGATGCAGCAGCAAGTCTGCGATTGCCGGCTGCAACGCCGGGTCGAGCCCGTCTTTGCATGCAGGCGAGGGCGCATGGAACAGCGGCGCTGGGAGTTCGCAAAGCTTGGCATAAATCGCTTTAGCTTTCTCAACAGAAGGGTCGGCGAGTCCAGGTTCTGATGCAAACACGCAGGGAGTAGATGTCATGATGCAGAGAGGAGGTGAGTTTCCTTTGGGGCTGACATTCGTCGCTCAGCTCTATGCCCATCCCGGGGCTGACTCTAATGTGCGGCTGGCGCGGAACACCTGAATGTATGCGTCATTCTAAATGCACCAAGGTCGTATCTGTTATCCGCAAGACCCATGTATTAGAATCAGAGTAAGATATCAAACCAACGGGCGATGAGGGAAGAAAAATGCGTGACCATTCGAGAGCATGCGCGTAAAGTGTGTACGACAAAAATCGAAAGGGAAAGGAAGGGATCGAAAATGACCCTAGCGCGACACCGCCCCATTCCTGAGCGGACTATGCACCCTCGGAGTCGCAGGAGTGGACGCCGACGTCGCGATAGTCGTGATCGTGATGCCGTTAGCGACCCTGGTGGGTATCGCAGGGGGCTTGCGCCGCCGCGGAGGCGGCGCGGGCGCCGCTTTCCGCGGCTTCGTCGAGACGGGTGAGCCCGGGTACGATGCCGGTGCAGTCGAGTCGAGGGGATCGAGCGGGGACAGTTCCGTCGGCGAGAATGGTGATGAAGTGATACGGATCTCGGGCGCCCCGACACGTTCTGTCGTCACCGGCGAGTCGTCGAGGATAGTCGTGCGTCGTGCTGTAGAAGGCACTTCGACATCCAGCGACGAGGGTCGGTCTCGTCGCCGTGAGAAGCTGGGCTCGACGACCGCCGCGGCTGCGAGGCGAGGGAGGCTCACATGGCTGTCGTTGCTCCCCAGTCGTATATGCTTTTCCTTCTCTTTGGACGCGGTCGGCGTCGACTGCAGATTCTCGTGGCTTCTGCTCGCTTTCAGAGATGACTTGACCCTACCGCCACTGACCGTATCCGATACTGCTAGCAAGGTATTACTTCCACTTGTGTGAACCGTCGACGCTACTACCGCAGAAACTGAGTCCAGCGCCGGGCTACGAAGCGAGTCCGTGCTGTAGACACTCTGCGTATCACTGAAGGACGAAGGGTACTTTGGCTGTGGTTTCCGATATTGCGCACACCAGTCACCCGAGAGACACCGTTTCACTAGCCGTTTGGTCGTGGGGTTGATGTCACGAATATTTTCGTTCTCGATGAGCGATTCCAGCACGTGCACAATTTGTGCGCGCTTGTATGGCATGGACCGGAGTTGGGTCTTCGTGAGCAGAGGGTGCAGCACTCGCAAGTAGGTATGTCGGAGCTGGAGAATGGTCAGCGCGAAACCTTATTACACTCGTTTGACGACGTACAGACTCGTTCTCCTCGTCGAGGTTAAGTATTTCTCGAAGAAATACATCGACTAGCACGCGCAAATCGTTGGTGTAGAAAAACTCTGCGCAGCCCTTCGTCGTGAACAGCAGATATAGCAGTTTCAGGACCAAAAGCTGCATGACCAGATCTTCCGCCGTCCTTCCTGCGAAAATGTAAGCGCAATCCGGACAGGTGACGCTCCGAAAACTCACCTGCGCGGTTCAGCATGAAGATGAGATTCTCGCCAAGCGTCATGCAAGATCCTAACCGGGCCATGAGCATGCGCAGTACCCTATTCTGTTCCTCCGGTTTCGGCTCAGGGTGCGAATCGGTCTTGGCGTGCCCTTGTGTATGCGGCTGGAGCGAAGCGACCATGAACTGCTCGTTGAGCGCAACCTACTAGACGTACTCAATATGCACGGAGCTGGCGAGACCATGAGAGGGGAAAGACGCACGATAAGCTTAATAACGGCATAGTTGAACGTTTCGTCCGCGTGGTCGCGTGTCTGCTCGACGACCTCGAAGAGGTGTTCGATGAACGTGTCGTCGAAGATGCGCAGGTCGCTTAGGGACAGCTTCTGTACACGGCAGACCTCGTAGAGGATGTTGACGGAAAGCAGGCGTAGTTTTGCCTCGATCGGCATGGCAGTGCGATTGGCGGCCACACCGGCGTCCTCGAGCTCGGGGTTGATGTCGAGCCGGACATGGTCCATGAGCAAGGGGATGATGGGCCGCCACCGCTTGTGTGATCTCAGAAAGCTCGCATGTCGTCTTCCGTAACCGAGCAGGATGGTGTACAGGATTAATTGGTAGTGCGGGTCCGTGCTCTGTGAAAGCAATCGTTCTCGACGACTCGGACAGCAGGAACAAGAAAACGTACAGTTTGAGCATCGTCTAGCAGTATATCACACATCCGCTCCGAGTGAAAAGTAAACAGCTCCGAGTTGAGAAGCAGGTCGCAGGCGTGCTCCAGCTGGAGGGGCGTCTGGAGGTACTGCTCTGCAAGTGGCGGGTCCGTTAGTGCATAGGATTTCAGGGCGGACCACGCACCATGATAACACCCGCAGAACGAGGTGAACTGCCGCAACGAAGCGTCGAGTTGGTCCAGGGTCATGTCGCTTGGGAGGCAGAGCTTGTCCTCGAGCTCTGCAAACTTTCCGTCAGAACGCACCGCCCACCGCCCATCGCTGTCTGGGGCGCACCGGACCAGAACTGCTGGGCGTTCTCGATGATGTACACGATGCCATTGACCTCCATCGTCGTCCTGCTTGACGACGGTGTGCAGGGGTGCCAGCGACGTGGATGGCAGAAGTAAGCGTGAAATGTTAGGCTAAGTGCTTTGACGCCCATACTCCATATTACACGAGCCCGCCCGAAATAGAAATTTGCTCAGGAGCCAGGCCCAGGGGGCAGAGTGAAATTGCTTGAAACAAGTACAGCATATTGTGCGAGGGTAGCGCGGTATTTACTGCGAACAATTTCACTGCAATAGCAAATACAGGAGGCCGGCCAGGATACATGGCCAGAGTGCCGCGCTTAGGGCACGGCCAGAGCCAGGCACACTGGACGGAGCAATCGAGCTTGGTGTGGTCGGGTTGCCGCTAGAGCTAATGCTGGAGCTACTCCCAGTGCCCGCAGCAACTACGATAGCAAGCGCAGTTAGTCTCCTTGAATGCAAATCATGCATGCCGATATTACTCACTGCTGGTGGGAAGCGCGGAAGCAACAGATGACGACACAAGCGCGGACGTCGTTCCGTTCGGTGATCTATGGGAACAGCGAGTCAAAAATCGGACCCTGCCGGTAAAACTGAGGGAAGATACCCACGGACAGAAGGTCAGAGTGTAGTCCGCATTCAGACCTGAATCACACATCCATAGCGCCGTGCCTGAGGATTCGTCAAATGCATAAGCGTAGGCATCTGGGCAGTTCCCCTCTGGTGAAGGCAGCTTAGAACTGCTGTTGCAGGATATGAAGAAAGAGAGCGCACTAAAGAAGCTGTAAAACTCTACGCCAGATGAGGGACACGTCGCGGCCGTGTCAAAACTGCCCGAGCAGCAGTTTGGCGAGTTGGCTGTTGTGAAAGGTGGCAGTATTCTATCAATGCTTCTGGCACGTTCTGTGCCGTAGAGCGTTCACGCACTTGGGTCCCCATCTAGGTTTGCAAAACAGGCTGATTTGCAACCGACTGCGAAGCCGGTGCTGTCGAATGGCCCTTGTATGGGTTGAGGGCCTGCAAGGAGATGGTAAGCACAGTAGGACGAATAACCAACGTCCACGTACAGATGGGTCCCAAGTCTACCGTGCAGTCAGCGACTGGGCACCCCACATTGTTCGTTATGCTTATTGGAAGGTCGTATCCATCCACTAATGATACTGCGATACAATCAGCCTGAGCGAGAATCGTGCACCCTGATTTGACCAGATAATACCATCGTAGAAGTCTTGGTTGCCGCTCCCTTGCAATGTCCATTCAGCAACTGATGCTGGAGGCACGCCCTGTTCTCCTTATGAGCTGAGAGCCGAACGGTGCCATCTTGAACAGCCTTACCGTTCCTGTATGCGGGTCGCACAGTAATCCTCCGTTACACCAGCCGGTGAGGCAAGTGGGCCCAGTCGTGATATTGAAATTGCAGTCTCGTCGCCCCTGGGGTATGGCAGAATATGGCCTTCAGCTTCCGGCTTTGAGATGCCTTGCATTTAACGCACCCAAATGCGTCCGGCAGTCCAATTATCCGGGACGGTGAAGGAGACAGAGGTGGATGGCGCCGCTTCCCATCTACTTAAACATGAGATATAAGCAGAGCAAGCATCTAAAGTTGCATACATACCCGGTCGCAAAGTCTGGTACAGCAGTGCCGGCCGTGAGATCCGTAAACATCTTGGAAGCGTTCATGTGAACGACAGTCGGTTGTTTCAAGGCGTGGGACGTACCGCGGGCCTTGAGCATGGCTTCAGCATAGATTGGACTGCAGCAGTAGGTCAACGCACCATATCGTAAATGGACAAGCGTTTAACACCGTAAATGTCCGTGTATATCCGACTGTGCACGACGCAGCGAGCACAAGCAACGTCGTTCTCCTCACCATGGTATCTAGGCTCTATGGGCTATGCTCAGAGCTGGGAGAGATGGTGGTACAAGACAGAGCAGGGAGGGCAGTAAGGACAGCCTGCGCAGCATGAGAAAAAGTATTCTTGGAGACTGCTTTCGCGAGAATTTGGAGTGGCGGTTCAAATTTAAACTTGGCTTGACCGTGGAAGCTGTAGGCTGTAGCTAGACGCCACAACGTGTTCGGCACGGGTGTTGGTGTGATCCGATTGTCTCATGTGGCAGCTCGTCGCCTCCAAGACCTCCATTATGGCATCTTCACGTTGGAAATATTAACGAATAGTACTGAATACTCCGCTAAGTTATCAGCCAGACATATAAATATTCGTCAAAGTAACTGAGGCTGTTGTACATGTCAAGAAACTCCCCAGGTATTACGCAATTAGCCAGATATCAAAGTCCAAGCGAACGTAAGTGTTTCTGCCGGTCTCTCCATAGTGTCCGGGTCTCAATCGTGTCCGTTATGGCACAGCAGTCCTCCCTCCTACAGTCGCAATGTCTGTGATCAAAATCGAAAGTCCCTGAGGCTTCTTTCTACCCATTAGTCTCCTTGGACGCTGCCCGCCTTCAGAATCTATCCGCGAGATATCTTGTTTCCACGCCCCGGGATCGCGCTTGAGATCGCCGCAAAAGGCTGAACTGTGGCTGCCCGTGTCATCTCCAACCTCGTGTGCTGCTGCATGATATGATGCATCGTTGGGATGTGGATTATCGCGCCCCACCTCCTCGCGAGAGCTCGCAGGAGGGGCGGCATGCACGATCCCATGATTCCCATCTTCCACGAGCCACACTTCGGACGCGGGCATCGGAGCAATCTCACTGTGAGCCAACCCCGAAAGCGGCGGAGGCTTCGATGTAGAATAAGTCGTCGTAGAGCTGCCGGCTGTTGAAGGGTAGTCCACGGTGAAGGCGTTGGCAGAAATGACGGACGTCTCCTGCGTGGGCATGATGAGTGACGCTTGACTTGAAATTCGGCTGTCGCACCGGACGTCGACTGTGCTTGCAACGCGCGGTGCAGGTTCGGAAGTCAGATCTGCGGGTCGCCAGAGTCAGCAAAACACACCAACGACTTCTTGAATGGAGAGGTGTACCAGCCAGGTGCCGTAAACGGCGCCGTCTCGCCAGGGCGCGCCTGTTGTTGAAGCACCTGCGTAGTCTATATGCAAGGAGAACGACCGCCATGATGACAAAGACGGAAAGGAGAGCGATGAGGATGATCGAGATTGTAGAATGCCCTTTCTTGGAAGCGCCCGCCGAGGACGTTGGAGGAAGCGATGAGGTTTCTGAAGAAGAGGCGGTTGAAGGAATGGAACTAGAAGGGACGATCTGACTGCATGCCTACAAACAACTTAGTGGAGCTGTTGCTCGACAAATGGGCGATCTCACCGTCTCCAACGGGTACGAGCAAGACTATAACGTTCCGAAGCTTGAGTCTTGGCAAAGTCCAATTCGAGGAGGGATTTTCAAGTAACGTACCGAATTAATACTTGAAGTACTAGCGAGGGACGTATCGCTGACACCGGAGGAGGTCTCAGTGCTAGAGTCGAACCGCGCAACAGGTAGCAGCACCATGGCGAGCTGTGGATGGTGATGCGAATGTCGGCCTCAAGGTATATAGATGACCATCGCCACAGGCCCCTACATGGTACATCTGACCGTTGCTGAGTATGTGCATTTGTGTACAATAATCAGAAATGCTTCCCATTGAGGTCGTCGAAATGAGACGTTAATGAACGTAAAGACAGATGGGGCGATACGTCTTCGCGATGCGATCTCGTGGGCGGTACGCATATGGGTGATGCATTCCTGTGCGAAGGTCCTGAGATAGGTTTGCCGCACGGCCAGACTGGAGGCTATACACGCACAATAGGTTCGTGCGTCGCGTCTTTCACATAGTTCTGCTATCGCCGGACCCACGGTAACAACGCTTGATGGGACCCGTCAAAGGCGGTGGGGCAGTGCTCGTTCTGTGATGTTTAGGTATGAGAGTGGGAAAGCGAAACTTGAGTAGCTGAACCTAATCAGCACCGCTTCTGAAGTTGTAAACTTGGTTCGCCTATGTGCTCATGCTGGAATGGTCAGGCATACATATATGATCAAGAGCATCACAGGACGAATAGACACAATGCGACCCACGCCAGACCCCTGAGCTTCTGTCATACGGAGCTCATGCCCTCAGCGCATAGATTATAGGGAACTGAACCATGGCCCCCCTCAACTCGCGCGGGGTACGACAACGGATCCACACGGGCGCATCACCGGGACGCGTTCGTTGAGCTCCCAATGCCCTACACTGTGACCGGGTCAACATGCGTCCACTAAGCAGTTGCTGGACGCTTCGAACTGACCCGAGTGTATCAGAACACAAGCTGAGGGCGCATTACCAATGTTTGCGCGGGGAACATGGTGGTTGGAGACGCGTCCGCGATGGGCGCTAGCGGCAGGCAAAAGTCGCCGCGGCCGACTCGGATTAATTGTTCAGTGGCACAGTTGCGCCACAACGCCCCCATATGTTTGATGGTCTCGAATTTCTTGCACATACGGGCGTACGCAACAATATGCACAATTCTGAAAGCATCGGTGGGATGCTACGTGATCAAATTGAAAGGTGCCTAGTGCACACTTTACATACGATGACCAGAGTACACGACAACCGTCAGAGCATCTCAATCAAACCCAAGCGAAAGATATTATCACTTCGAGGCCTCGTCTCACTTTCAGCAGCCTGCATCTTGACAACTGAAGCTTGCGATAAGGTTACCCCAATAATTTCCCGAGTCAAGCCCACCGGTCGAGTCCCCCGGGTAGGCAAACTGCCAGACAGGGGCCGTTGACGATGAGCCGCCGGGGTTTTGGCAGTTTGTACCGCTGCGTCACAGCGTCAACATGCAGCTGGGAGCCCGAATGGATGTTAACGGCTTTGCGTACCTGTATGCCTGGCATTGCATACAATTGTCCGGGCCGAAAGATGAAGCATTCAGCCTCCAGGGTGACGGAAGGTTCTGGCAGCTGCCAGCTGCGAACGTGAAGTGGTTGCAGATGCCCTGCCAGTTTGTATCCGTGCAAACATACACGCCGCCAACTGTATATTCCTGTGGTAGTGGCGAGACATCATTGGCTATAGTAAACACGCCGAAAGCGAAGGAGCGTACCCCAGTATCGTCTCTGGAGAGCGGGAATGCGGACACGCCAAGCACGAGCACAATGGTCGTCAAGGTAATAAACGAGAAAGTGGAGAATATCATCAAAGGAGCGACAAAGGATAAGGAGCGGGGGTAATGTCGAGAGATCGCGGGATGCAGGAGAACACTGGAGACTTGACTTTCTTCCGCGCTGAATTATACCTTCGGCCTGGCCGCTGTTGTCGCACCGCATCACCTCTCCATGGTGCAAGTCATTGGTTGCCCGCTTTTCAGCAAATGCCGGGCATACACTTGCCAATACAAGCTTCAAAGCCACCCGCGTGAACAGAGATGTGGTAAGACGGACCTCGGCCGTGTCATATAGAAGGGTGTCGGGCAGTGTCTGCCTACGATCGTTGCCCTTGTAGACTGATTGTCCGAAAAGATGTTCCACGCGTAAGTTCTGGTGGCCACAGTGAACATCAGAAGAGTGTGAGTCTTGTCGCTTGTGGGCCTGATATCGCTGTCTGCCAGTCAGAACGTGATGAAGCTGTGAGAACGGACGCTGCACACGGACCATGCGTCAAATACGCGCGGTTGGCCAACCTGAACATCACATATATGACAAAGGTCTGCGCACCTTGGAACAATATACTATGTGGCTCACAGAGTCGCGGCGTTCTAGCGTCAGTTTCATGAAAATTCGCCATCATCCAACCCACGGCAAAGATGTCTGATGCATCAAGGTGGGCTCTGCTGGAGATAGTGTTGCAGTGCTCGTTCCTTTATGCAGAATGCTAGTGGGCGATATGCTGTTTCAATACCACAGCCGCTCCCACCACTGATGCGGATAGAGTTCGTCCGAGCGCCCATATCCAAAACGCATGCATCTCAGTGCGGCTGCGACCTGTGAACGGAGGGACGCGCATATAGGAACCAAACTCACGACCCTTAGCTCTCTCACATCGCACACTCTTCATAAATCGCTGGACAGTTTGCGTTCAGTCGTCTGCGCAGCATGAGTCGTCAAACGAGCTTTGCACGATGCGGCTGCACCGTGCCCGGGTCAACTCATTTGTATTCAGCTCAATGAGCATTCTGTATGAATTTCGATACGCCGAAGCATGGAGCGCGTAAGCCCCGCGTTTTCATGGGACATGTGGTCACCGCTGGAGACGCGTTCGTGCAGGGCGCCAAACAAAACTGTCACCGCCGGTCAGAGTCCCGCAGAGTACAGTAGGTCGCAGTTTGCGTACCTTGGGCCAGCCTCATAGCGTTGTGGTGCCCCGTCGTCGTCAGCCAACCGCCACAGCCCCACTGCGCAACTGCTGCTCTGAGGCGCAGTCGCTGCTACTGACGGTACTTGACTTTTTTTTTGCTCTTTCTAATTCGGAGAACGAGCAATAACAGCCAAAGGCCCTAGAGTTGTGAGACTTAGTTAGACGCGTGTAGGAGTCAATTTAAACGCCTTGCCTCAAGTAACGGTAGAAAATGCAGACATTCCGGCAATCGCATAAAACGTGAATCAGAGGCCGCGTCAGGAGAGAGAGGAAATCAAGTTAACATGCTCCAGCGCTTTGATCAAGATCATACCATACGGCGTGCGTCAGGAATAGCAAACTCCGCCGTGATCCATGGAGGTTCTGACGTTGAACGTTGAATGCTGCTTGTCCGCGCCTGACTCCGAGCACGAAGCATGGAATGCGAACCTTTGAAGATTGGAGCTAAGAGGTCGGCAGCTTCTGGTAGCCGACTGGCCATAACACGCCCGCCATCCATGTTTATGTAGCGTGGAAGGTTTCGCAAGTAAGTATAAATGTGGACGCCCTGTACCTGGTGGCTTCCCATGTTCTCGTCGGTGCCTGTCCAGGACTGCCATTTCATGCAGGAATAGCTGTCCGGCTAGTCCTGCATGAGACGGTGGCCCCAAATGCACATATATAACCCTCTTAGGGTCCAGCATATCGTCATCTGCGCGTGCCGTACACGTGCTGATACTTCTCAGCCCGCACTTTGCCAGAGAATTGGTGACATGGGATACACACGTACGGCTCAGCACGAGAGTGCAGCGCAATCGTGACAGCTGTCACACGCCGTCAGCTTGGACGTTCCTCAGATAAGCCGAATATACTCACTGAATGATGGAGTGCTCGGTGCCAGGATATTCCGTCTGAGAGCTTCACGGGAGAACAACGATGAATATTGCTCGGTGTGCGATGTGCCGTTTGATATGACGGGGTGTCCACACGCTGGGCACGTGTGGAAGCAAGGTAGTCTACGACGTTACACGAGCTGGAAATCCATACAGTGCCTCAGATGTGCGCAGACCTCCTGCTCGCCGAAACTAACTTCTTCTCTGACGCATGCCGTTTATCTCAGCCACGATTCGCAGCACGCAGTGTATGTACTTACCTAAGCTCAGTGTCGCAGTTCGGCTCCATCTGCGGCAACCAGGCACTGCATAGCTTTCAGCGTCAAAACACAGGCCGCAGGAGTACGCAAATCCTCGATTGTCTGAATGCGCGCGGAGGAAAGCCGCAGATTTCGTCTCCACCGAGGCTTGTGCGTAAGCGTTCCGTTGAAAGTGGGGCCGGAAGGAAGCGGCGGGGCGGTGACACGGAAGTAGCGCTACACAGCCGCATCTGCGCTCGGTTCGCACGACAGCTGCGAGGCCAGGGTGGCATATTAAAGTGAATTCACAACCTTGAATCTGAGCCTCTTCATAGCCAGCACGCTTCGACGTCTCTTGTTCTGCCTCTGCACTTGCATCCGCACTTCTTGTCCGCCCCGCTCCTGCCAACACCAAAGGATCAATGGGCGCGCAGATCAGCCGGCAGCGTCGCCAGCGCAGGTCGGAGGGAGAACAAGGTCGTCAAGAGTCCGACTTACGCGACCAGGACGGCCGTCCGAGTTCGTCGTCGCGAGGGGTATTGCGCAGCTTGGGGAGAACGACTCAGCCTTTCACGCCGGCGCCGTCCGCGGCGTCGACGGTCGCGATGACTGCCGAGGCGATGAGGTCGTCGAGCGAACCTTCGAAAGGAAGAGCAGGGGTGGCGGTGACACAGCCTTTCGCGCAGCCGAGAGGCAATATTCTCGGCGCCTCAGCATCGCCGAACCGCGCCTCGGGGGCTGCCGAACAGGTAAGCACTCCCATCATTGATGCCATTGCTATTCTGGGGTTGTCCCCTGTGCAGTCGCTGGTTGCACAGATTTCAGTATTTAACCACCAGGTCGAGCTAATCGTACCCTTGTTTCCTTCCTTCTTATCTCTCTCAGGAAACAGAGCGACAATCTGTGCAAGCCATGCCTGCTGCTTCTGCCACCGTGCCGTGCCAGGTGAGCTGCAGTATCATCGGTTCTTATCACGAGATATAGCTGAAAATATCCCCGGAATAGTATCGAACCGGCAAAACTCTCGGCAGCGGAACATACGCCATCGTCAAGGAGGCCGTGCATATCAAGACTGGACAGTACTATGCTTGCAAAGTCATCAACAAGAAGCTCATGGAGGGCCGGGAGTACATGGTGCGTCGTGATGTTCAGCTCGCTTTACTCCACGAGTTGCCATTGGCCGTCGTGGGTCTTAAACGAGATGTCCATGCTCACACAAACTCCAGGTTCGCAACGAAATTGCTGTCCTGAAGCGTGTATCCAAGGGTCATCCAAACATCGTCACATTGCACGACTACTTCGAAGTCAGATCTCGTGCGATCCATTTTTTTCGTCATCTCTGACGCTGCGGGTTATCTAGACCTCGCACAATCTCTACCTCGTCTTCGATCTCTGCACCGGCGGAGAGCTTTTCGATCGGATATGTGCCAAGGGCAACTACTACGAGGCGTGCGTCTGTGCATCCAATCGATATTCACAGATATCTAACGCGCTTGTCACAGTGACGCTGCGGATCTCGTGCGCATCATCCTGAAGGCTGTCAAGTACATTCACGAATGTGGCATCGTCCACCGCGACCTCAAGCCTGAGAATCTGATTTTCCGCACCAAGCGTGAAGACGCCGACATTATGATTGCCGACTTCGGTCTCTCGCGCGTCTTAGACGAGGAGAAGTTCCAGCTGCTCACAGAGATCTGCGGTACTCCAGGAGTGCGTACCGTGTTTGATTTATCCCGGAGGGCTCATCGCCTGATAGCAAACTAGTACATGGCGCCTGAAATCTTCAAGAAGAGTAAGCAGTTTACCTGATGTCGTTACGGCGATCATTAATGACTCTCTACAGCTGGTCACGGAAAGCCAGTGGACGTTTGGGCCATGGGTGTCATTACGTACTTCCTATTGTGCGGCTACACGCCATTCGATCGCGACACGCAGCAGCAAGAGATGGAGGCCATCATCGCCGGCGACTACAAGTTCGAGCCAGCGGAGTACTGGGCGAACGTGTCCGACACGGCCAAGGACTTCGTGCGCGAGTGTCTGACGATCGACCCGGCGTCACGGCCGACGGCGGACGAGGCGCTGCGGCACCGCTGGCTGGCGGACACGGAGCCGCACGGTGTGCAGGACGCGAGCGGGAACATGGCGAACCTGCTGCCGCAGATCCAGAGGGCGTTCGACGCGCGCAAGACGTTCCGCAAGGCGGTCTTCTCGATGATGGCGATGAAGCGCATGAGCACGCTCGCCGCGGGTCTGTCGCCCGGCGCCCGTGCACTCGGAAAGGACATCGAGCAGTACAAGGAGGAGTCTGAGAAGGTGTGCTAGACGTCCGTGTCGCTGCTGGCCGGTGCTGATGGACACAACTGCAGGAAAACGTCGATGAGGACCGCGACGTCGTGCACTTCCAGGACAGTGGCGACCACGAGCAGAGCCCACATCTCGAGAACCAGATGGCCAACATGAGTGTCGAGCAGGGCAAGTCATGAGCGTCGTCAGTCTGAGGCTACTTCGTGGATTGCCAAGAATCTGCTGCCGGTCGGGAATGGAGTGGTAATATGTGCTATGAAGGCTCTACTGTACAACTATCTCTGGACGCTTTCGGTGGTTTCGGAACAAGATTTCTTGATTAGCATACTTTTGCGGCTGAAAACTGGTCTGGAATCTGCAGACAAGTGGCACGTATTCACCGGCATTGATCGCATCAATCGCAGCAGTGGTGAGCTTCCTCTGTTCGTCATGGATGTTTAGGACTTCCTACAGCTTCGTCTTGAGGCCGCCTTGTCTAGCTTGCCTGCTCTTCTCGAACAAATCCGCGCTCCTCAGATCACCCCTATCAGCCAATGTTGATGGCAGACCCTCGTCTGCCTCCTCTTACTCCAAGTCTCACAGCATCCCCGGTTCGATTGTCGGTCCTTATCTGTTGTTAAAAGGCCCCCCGAGCCGTATCGTCAAAAGGAGGCGCGACGACGGATGGCTTAACCGTCCAAGGCCGAGCTCGAACAACACCGGAGCCCTACACTCTTCGCGGCGCCCGATTCCGAGTTTAGAAAACCACGCGCTGTCGAGACATCACACGCGCTCTTCAGGGCGTGCCTCTCAAAGAGTTGGCGCGCCATGGCACCAGGCGCGTCCTGCATGTCGCTGCGCAAGACATTGGTGCGAATATTTGTCTCACGGAATATTTCGGGATTCTAGCCGAGATGCCGATCGCTTTGTGGCGTCGCCGCGTCGGCCTACTATGATTATTATCCGTCCACAGCGATAGCTTAGGACGAGGAACAACATAAGATTTTCATTGGTCGCCACCAGAAAGCTGTCCACAGCGCTATTTGAACCCGCTATACAACTCCCTAATCTAGGGATTAATTGGCCTTTGCAACAACGATGCTCTCAATCCACGCGTCAAGGTCACGGGCAATCTCGTCTCCGTTCGAGAGAATGAGCCAGTGGTCCGCGTCGTACTCTTTCTCCGTCACATTGTGCTTGCTGAAACTGTCTCCCCCAAACAGAGTGTAGCCGATCTCGGGAAGGCAGACATAGTCGTACTTAGCGGCACCGAAGTAGATGGGCGCACTCGCCGGCGGGAGGAGACGTTCGTACGGGACCTCTGCGGAAAACACATCACGTTAGCTTTGCGCCGAACCGAATCCAGAATAGCGAGAAAACGAGACGCACGCTCTTCGTCCTTGGCAGACAGCTGGCTCGTCATGATCTTGTACCAGCACGTCGGCGCCTCAAACCCGTTGCGCCTGAACGTCTCTATAAAGTGCTTCTTGTCTTCCTCGGACACGTAGGACGGCCGAGGGGTAACATAGTCTTCGAGCAGGCTACCCCTCATGGCGCCCGTCGGAGCGAAGCGCGCCTTCCAGATCGTAGGATCGTACGGATAGATAAGACTGACGAATGAATCTATCTGTGACGGAAGTCAGCAGTTGTCATACCGCGGAGCCGCATTGCACCTACGTGCGCTTGGAGGACTTCATTCGCATCTGGCGCGCTGAAGAAGGTCCAATAGGCGTATATCTCGTACCCATACAGCTGCTTCAAGTAGTCTAGGTATATCTGGAAGTTGATCGGGGGAGTTATCTTCATAAAAGGGACTGCGAAGAACGCGTAGGCAAGGAACCGCTCGGGATAATAGTTTGCGAGGCGCGATACCGCCTTGGAACCCCTGTCACGCTCCTCAGCACCCAGCCAACACGAGGCTCGACGAGAAGACGGCGGATCTCACTAGTCATGGCCAATTGCAATAACCTTGTCAAGTTTCTCGGCGTCGAGGATATCGACGAGGTCTTTGGATATCAAGCTTGGGACGTACGCCGCCGGGTCCGTAGGCTTGGCGGTCTCGCCGTAGCCGAGCATGTCGGGGACGACCACGCCGTAGCCCTTCCCTTGTAGCTGGGGTGCAATGTGGCGCCAGTCGTGAATCGTGGATGGGAACCCATGACAGAACAGCAAGGTCGGCTTCTGAGGCTGGGCGGGGGAGAAGTAGTAGTGGTAGGTCAGGTTGCGTGAGGTGATGACGTTCTTGTACAGCGACGGGTCCATGAGAGCGGATGCACTGTGGTGGAGGGCGAGTAGAGTAGTTGCTAGCGCGCTGATGTATCGCATAAGAGCAGATGCGTTGCGGTGCAGAGAAATCTAGCAACTGTTCGCGAATTTATATTCTTCATATACGCATCATGATGCCCGACTCCGAGGTTTCGAGTCAGCAATGTCGCTTGGCGAAGACCCACCCGTCTGCAGTATTTGTCACATCGGTTGGGATTGGCGATGCAGGAAGCCCTGAGAACGGGAGAGGGGGTATCACGGACTCCGGTCGATGCCCGCAGAGATCATGTACACGGCGAGATAAATGTACACCGTGGATGACGCAGAAGCCTCGGCGCCGCAAGCGTTGGATCGGTCGGGGCCCGTGTTAGCGACATGGGAGGCGCATCAAACTTGAAAGCATACGCATCAAGTCTTCAAATCACTAGGCTTTTCCGATGAAACCCGACGCTCTTAAATTTCCAACACCATGGCCGGACCATCCGCAGGGATCAACGCCCAGTCGTTGCTCAGCTAGGCAGGGCCGCTCTTGCCGCGTTTTGCAGGTGGGCGTGTTTCTAAGCGATGCCCACCCCTCGACAATGCATAAGACGGGGGTTCTAGTACCTGCTTGATAATCGCCGCTATGGAGCGCTGCGGCGCCTCCCGAGTCGGTTGCGGCTCCCGTCGTCGGGCTTTGTTAGGTGAGTTTTAAAGCCGGAGTCCAAGGTGCCAAGCCGATTAGAAAATAGGCAAGAGCGCGCCGTTCCAGAGCGACAAATGGAGCTGTGAGCTAGGCACATTTGTCGATGTCGCATGATGCCAATAAACCGCAGCCGCGAGCTTGTTATTCAGCATGATACAGTCTCCGTATGGCCGAGTTCTCGAAAAGCAGCAAGGCTCACAATGGAGGCACGGATTCCAGCGTCCACTTCCAGGTTTCCTCGGCCTCCTTCGTGTTCGGCTTCAAATGTCGACTCACCCTCCAAACGAACGCTTTGATTCTTCGCCTTCCAATTCAGAATTTACCTTCCGAGCGTCGACGTACTTGTTTCTTGATGCGGACACCGATGAGAAAATGCAAGAACACCTCCATCATCGCTACCTCTGTGTATCGCGAGGTGATTCAGGCTGTACCACACCTCCATACTTAATGTTTCGTTACATAAGCCATGCGGCTCTGTAGCTAACACCTCGTCCTTTGCCCATCGTGACGCGCCTTGGCTCCTCTATCTTCTTCTCTCAGGCCTCATCTACGATGAGTCCTGCGGCGGGATCTCACGGGCGTAAGTCCGTTAAAGCCAAGTGTTTGCAGTCCGGCAATAAAGTATCTCTTCGATATCTAAGGTCTCTTGCGCCGGCCTTGGCCCACTGGCATCCGATGCGAGGTACGTCACCGCGTGTGCTGTTGAGGCATGATACGCGCTCGTCAAAACATACCTCCTGAAAATGAAAATGAAAATGAAAATGAAAAATGGCACATCCCGAGCGATTTTGCGCTGTTCGCTATGGGCAGCGTGCAGGAAATATGTCGGAGATGATCGCGGCCGAGATACCGATCGCTAAGTTGCGACGTCAGCTTATGCGGACTGCGTACATCATTTACCCAATCTCTCCTTCCGCAGCGATGGCTTAGAACAAGGAACAGCATAAAACTACTACTGGGCGCTACCACCAAGCTGTCCAAAGCGTTGTTCGGATCTATTACACTGCTGTACACGGCATAGAAATGTGCTACCAAACAAAAAGGCTGAATGCAGCTATTGTCTATAGGGAGAATATCAGTCTTCGCGTTTTTGCTAGGATATACAGGACTTACTAACCTAAATATTGGCCTTTGCAGCAACGGTGCTCTCAATCCATGCGTCAAGGTCGCGGGCAATCTCGTCTCCTTTCGAGAGGACGACCCAGTGGTCCGCATCGTACTCTTTCTGAGTTACATTATGTTTGCTGAACTCGTCCTTTCCGAATACAGTGTAGCCGAGCTTGGGAAGGGCAATATAGTCGTGTTTGGCGGCACCAAAGTAGATGGGCGCACTCGCCGGCGGAATAAGGCGTTCGTACGGAATCTCTGCGGATAACGCGGTGCGTCAGCTCTGCACCAGCATAGCGAGAAGACGAACGGAACGCACGCTGGTCATCCTTAGCGGCTAGCTGGCTCGTCATGATCTTGTACCAGCACGTCGGCGCCTCAAACCCGTTACGCTTGAACGTTTCTATAAAATGCTTCTTGTCCTCCTCGGACACGTAGGACGGCTTAGGAGCAACATAGTCTTCGAGCAGACTGCCCCTCATGGCGCCCGTCGGAGCGAAGCGCGTCTTCCAGATCGTAGGATCGTATGGATACATGATACTGACGAATGACTCCATCTGTGATGCAGGTCAGTAGCTGTTATACCGCGGAGCCGCATATCCACCTACATGCGCCTGGATGACTTCGTTCGCGTCTGGCGCGCTGAAAAAGGTCCAGTAGCCAAACAAATCGTACCCATACACCCGCTTCAGGTAGTCCAAGTATATTTGGAAGTCAGTCGGAGGAGTTACCTCCATAAATGCGACGGCAAAGAACGCGTAGGCGATGAACCGTTCAGGATGATAGCTTGCGAGGCGCGATACCGCCTTGGAACCCCTGTCACGCAGATCAGTACCCAGACAACCTAAGTTTCGATGAGAAAACGGCGGATCTCACCAGTCATGGCCAACCGCGACAACCTTGTCAAGTTTCTCGGCGTCGAGGATATCGACGAGGTCTTTGGATATCAAGCTTGGGACGTACGCCGCCGGGTCCGTAGGCTTAGCGGTTTCGCCGTAGCCGAGCATGTCGGGGGCGAGCACGCCGTAACCCTTCTCTTTCAGATGGGGTACAATGTGGCGCCAGTCGCGAGACATGGATGGGAACCCATGACAGAACAGCAAGGTTGGCTTCTGATGTTGGGCGGGAGAAAAGTAGTAGTGGTAGTTCAGGTTGCGTGAGGTGACAACGTTCTTGTACAACGACGAGTCCATGAGAGCAGATGCACTGTGGTGAAGAACGAGTAGAACAACTGCCCGCGTATTTATGTATCGCGATGCCGGGTCAGTAGCTTGAACGTCGCTTGTCGAAGCCTTACTCATCCGTTGGATAGTATTTGTCACATTGTTGGTTAGAAGAATGGACAGGAGTGCGCTAGTCCAGAGCGACAGTTGAAGCTATGAGTTGACCTCGTTTGTGGTTTCTTGTGGCGCTGACCTACTGAGGCCGCGAGCTTATTATTCAGCATGTAGTACTCCATATAGTAGGCGAATTTCAAGCTTCCGACGAGCAGGAACGCTTATGACGGCGGTACGGGGCTCAGTGCCCGCACCGTATTTTCTCGATCTGACCGGCGGGCCCACTGAGCGCTCAAATTGCTTTTCCCGACAATTCTCTAAAATCGCCATCAATCGAGAAAACATTATTGGAGGGGTCAGCAAAATATTGCTGTAACCCGTGACCGCCGGTTAGGTCGAGAAAGCATAGTATTTTCCTTGGCCTCCATCTGCGGAGCCACACGGACTTATCTTTCATATAGATGGCCCCCGCCTTTGAGCTCGAAAATCTGGCTTCCGAGCGCCAACGTAGATTAGTCTACCGCCCGGGAAACGCCTATCGAATTCCTAGCGCGCAATTTGCTTCATGCCAGACTGCGGGACGGCTTTAGCTTCGGCCCCTTTTTTCGTAGTATGGATACAGATGGCAAAAATACGAGAGCACGACTACCATCGCCATCTCCGCATATCGGATCATGCCCCGGGTCGTACCACATCCCCTTACAAACCGTCTGCTTACATGGGCGGCGCTCTCAAACTGGATGGTGGCGCGCTTTGGCTTCTCTTCTCAGGCTCCGCTCTCTGTGCCTGCTCGTCCGGAACATTGCAGTGTTATTCAAGCGCTACGGCAATATGTGCCCGTTAGAGCATCCCTACCAGTTACACGGCACGTCGGAAGCTAGAGTACGTGTTGTGCTGCTCGTTTATGGGTAGCGCAGGAAACATTTCGAAGCGATCTTGGCCGAGATGCGGCAATGCCGATTGCTTCGTGGCGCTGGCTTGTGCGGGCCTCACGAGCCGCGTAAGCAGCTGTAACCTGCATGTTTTTCTATATCCATAACTTTTGATAACGCTAGAATTTGTAAGTTGACGGGCCGTAGAAGAGTAGCACCGAAGGCTGCGAGAAGGTTGCACAAGCGTTATCTGCATCTGCTACACTAGGTACACGGTACAGAAAGCACTGCTGTCAAACTCCAAACTCGGATGAACACTGCGTCTCGGTAGTGCATATGGAACTTGCTGACCTGAAGTCCAGCTTTCGGCATTACAGCGCCCTCGATCCATGCTTCAAGGTTGCGGGCGATCTCGTCTGCCTTCGAGAGAATCAGCCAGTGGTTTTCATCGTACTCACTAGTATCGTCACGCTGTATCCGCTAAATACCTCGTTCCCAAAGACCGTGTAGCCAGCCTTTGGAACGCAGGCATAATCGTACTTAGCCGTGCCGAAGTAGATCGGCGCATTCGCCGGCGAGAAGGGGCACTCTGGCGGCATCTCTGCAGAAAATATAGCGCGTCGGCACCACGCTAAGCTGACAGAAAGACGGAACGTACGCTGGTTGTCTTTGGCGGAAAGCTGGTTCGACGTGAGTTTGCACCAGCATGTCGGCGCCTCTGCGCTTGAATGTCTCCACAAAGCGTTTCGTGTCTTCCTCGGACAGGTAAGTTGAAGGCAGTCGAGGGGCATGAGAAACCCCTCATGTAGGTTCTTCCTTAGTACGTCTGTCGGGGCGTAGTGCGTTTTCCAGATCGTAGGGCCGCGCAGATTGAATGCGATACTGGCAAGCGAGTCTATCTGCAGCATAGGTCAGCAACTGGAAATTTAAACGCGCGTTTGCACCTACGTGCGCCTGGATGACTTCAATCGCTTCTGGCGCGCTGACAACTTGAAAACACCAGTATCCAAACACCTCGTTCTCATACCTATTCTTGAAGTAGTCCATAGTCGACTGAAAGCCTAGCGGGGGTATTATCAGTATGAAAGGAACGACGATGAATGCATAAGCGAGGAACCACTCTGGGTAATAAATTGAGAAGCGCGAGGCTGTCCTAGGACCCCTGCCATCGCCGCTCAGCCGCCAAGTAGAATTGGAGGTTGGTAAGGAAGCGACGGATCTCACCAGTCGTGGCAGACCTCAGAGTGTTTTAGGCTTGGAGACGTGAGTATCGAATGTTCGCTCCCACGGAAATTGAAGTTCATTTATGAGCGGATGCGACCTAGCCAGAGCAAAGCCAAGGCTGTGAGCCGGACTTTGGCATATGTGCAGATACGCACTACGATAACTAACCCCTCTGCTCGTTTCGCTGCGCCCAGTCTTCTAGGAGGTGCGAATGATATAGTAGTGGTAGCTTATGCGATAGGTCACCAAGCGGCAAATGGCAGAAGATGTGCAAGTTGCGTGCTACCAAATATTCGCTATCTAGCTCTATTACAGCACACTGCCCACAGCGCGCAAACTCCGCTGTCAAGCAAAGCTGAGATCTATGACGAGGATGTCAGCCACGGCACCTCTCGTATACCCGTATAGGACTCACCGACTTAGTGGCTGGCCTGCGAAACAGCAGTACCCTCTATCCACGCGTCAAGGTCGTGAGCAACCTCGTCTCCTTTCGAAAGAATGATCCAGTGGTCCGTGTCGTACTCTTTATGCGTCACATTGTGCTTGCTAAACTCCTCGCCCTCGAACACCGCATAGCCGATTTCAGGAAGGCAGACATAGTCGTATTTGGTGGCGGCGAAGTAAATGGGCGCACTGGCTGGCGGGAGAGCGCGCTCATACGGAATCTCTGCGAATACAAGCATGGCGCATTAGTACCGCGCTAAGCAGAAGTTAGTATAGCGGGACAAATGGTACGCACGCTCGTCGTCCCTGGCAGACAGCTGGCTCGTCATGATCTTGTACCAGTTCGCCGGCGCCTCAAAGCCGTTTCGGCTGAACGTGCCCACAAAGTGTTCCTTATCCTCCTCGGACATGTACGCCGGCAGAGGCGCGACGTAGCCTTCGAGCAGGCTCTGTCTCAGCACGCCCGTGGGGGCCCAGCGCGTCTTCCAGATCGTGGGATCGTACGGGAACGCGACGCTAACAAACGAATCCACCTTGCGCACGAGTCAGTAGCTATGATATCGCGATCCGCATGGACACCTACGTGCACCTGGATAAGCTCGTTCGCGTCCGGTGCGCTGAAAAAGGACCAGTAGCCGTACAGCTCATACCCGTACACCCGCTTGACGTAGTCCAGGTACATTTGAAAGTCGGTTGGAGGCGTGATTTCTGCGAAAGGGACAGCGAGAAACGCATAGGCAAGGAATCGCTCGGGATAATAGTTTGCGAGGCGCGAGATGGCCTTGCAGCCCCTATTACGCGGCTCAGCACTCGTGCAGCATGTAAAACAGCGCGAATATAGCTCACCAGTCGTGGCCAATCGCAATAACCTTTCCGAGACTCTCGGCGTCGAGGAGGTCAACGAGGTCTTTAGAGATCAGACTCGGGACGTACGCCGCCGGGTCCGCAGGCTTGGCGGTCTCACCAAGGCCGAGCATGTCGGGGGCGAGCACCCCATATCCCTTCTCTTCCAAAACAGGCACGATGTAGCGCCAGTCGTAGGATGTGGACGGGATTCCGTGGCAGAGCAGCAGGGTTGGCTTCTCTGGCTGGGCGGGGGAGAAGTAGTAGTGATAGGTCAGGTTGCGTGAGGTGACGGCGTTCTTGTACAGCGATGGGTCCATGAGAGCATGTGAACCGTGGTGGAGAGCGAGTAGAACAGTTGCTAGCGCGCTGAAGTATCGCATGAAGGCAGATGTACTGTGATGGAGAGCGAACAGAACAATTGCTCACGTATTTATGCATCGCGATGACGGGCTCCAAGTCGCCGATGTCGCTTGTCGAGGCCTTACTCATCTAGTCACATGGGCTGCAGCAAGTCTTGAGAGTGCAAGAGGCAGTGCGGTGAAGAAGGTCGATGCCGGCAAAGATCGTGCTGAAACGGGTTCGCGTCGGCGGGGGTTGTGGCGGCCGGCGCATCAAAGCGCGCAGGAATACGCATCAAATATTCACGTGAGTGAGTTCCTTCCGCGGACATCGACGTTCTTTCCAACACCAGACCGTCCAAAGATCAGTAATTGCTTTGGCCACACAGGATTACTCTTGTAATCTCCCGCCGATGGGAGTAACGCCAGCGTTTCGACGAAGCGTAAGAAGACTTAATTAGGGCACGACTCCGACAACACCGTCGGCTGCAGCCCCCCACCGCCGGTCACTGCCACACTTCGTTAGTCGGGTTTCAAAGCTTCAGGATGGCGCCTTTTAGAGAATCAGAAGAGATGCACCAGTCAAAAGGGACAATTGAAGCTGTGAGTCAGGGTTCGTTTGTGCCAACATCGCGTGATGGCGATAAACCGCAGCCGCGAGCTTATTATTCAGCATAATACAATCGTCGACAGGCAGAGTTCTCGAAAAGCAGCAAGGTCAAAGAACGTGGAATGGAGCTCATTGCCTGTTCTTTCCTTAGCCCCCTTCATCACTGATCGAGATCCCTCCCCACCTTTCTCCTCGAAAGCTTGGCTTCCAAGTGTCGACGCGGGTGAGTGTGTTATCCATGCGACATTGAACCACTTCTTAATCTCCCTAAGCACATGTAATCTTTGACGAACAATCTGTATTATGCCAGACTGTGAGATGGCGTTGCCCTCAGCCGCTTCCATCCTGATACGGATACCGATGGCGGAGATGCAGGAGCGTGACTATCTTCGCTATCTTCGTTCATTGCCGTATCTTGACCAAGAATAGTGAGCATCTGCTCACGCGTTCTCTAAGGATCTTTGGTTGACGGATAATCTCTTCGAAGGCTCGAACAAGTGATCAGGCAGCTCGCGTACGGGTATAAGTAGACCTGCGCGGGGAATTACACGCACCTTCTCCTGCATCGATACGGGCTTAGGTCCCATGGCTTCGGTCAACGCGCCGACGTCCCCGACAAAAGCGGTGAGTGCTCATTTCACGAGAGCGTAGACGTGAAGCCGTTTCTCGGTCCTCCGCTGCTGCACTGACGCTAACGGCCGCTATCAGGCTACGACTTCCTCGCCCTCCAAGCCCACCACATCAATTAAGAAAACTTCTTCTCAGACATCAGCGAAGAAGTCATCGTCATCATCGTCATCGCGAGCAACAACCTCTTCAAAACATGCGGATTCATCTTCTGCCATTGTATCAAGTGCTACGCCGCAGTCTATATCCCTCACAACAATCATCGATCCTGCTTCAGTGCCAGTCGTTACTTCTACCGCAATTACCACTATCGAGATTTGGTCTCCTCCATCTACCTCGTCGCAGCCTCCATCCAATCAGCCTCTCCCTCTCTCTCGCTACCCTCCTCTGTCCTATCTATAACACCGCCCTCTGCCAGCTCACCATCTTTCAGTAGTATGGCCAGCCAGGTATCTGTAGCTGTGAGTAGTCCTTGCTCTTTACTGAACGATACGCCATTTATCAACAGTCGACAGCCCTCGATAAGCGCGCAGCAGAACGTGGATAGTCCCAGTGGAGCCACACGCGGGCCCTCTCTCTATGCCATAGTGGGTGCCTCCGCTGGAGGAGCAGTCGTTGCGACATTGCTCTGTGTCGCTTTATGGTGGAAGCTGGTGTGGCGCAAGAGAAGCTTAAGACATACCTACAGTGAGACTACTTGCTAGAAGAGTCGGCGAGAAAGTCTACACACATCCCCTGCTGCTAGATCGGGCGCTCTCTAAGGACAGTCTGGCTTCAAGAGAGGGCGCAGAAACAAGCGAAATTTCAGGCGCTTCTTCGAACGCTCTGCCGGAGACTTTGCTCCATCGTGCAGAATTTGCCGAAGGTAATCCTCTTTCGAAATGGGTGAGCCAGAGGTCCAGCTACGCCGCCTCACGCTCTGTGCGCTCCAAGTCGCAGTATTCCTCATCACTTCCACCAATGGGATCGCCCCCGCACACACCGTACAAAGCACCTCAGCGCGACCACGAGCTGCGAGACCGGGATCACGAGGCCCATTTACAAGAGCCGCCTGGTGTGGAGAATGGACGGGCCGAGGACGGTGGGGTCAGACTGGCTGGCGGTGGCCTGCGAGCTGCGAGCTCGACCGTGGCGGTGCACGCGGTCATTACACCCTCACCTCGCACCCACCTTCCACCGCCTTACGCAGAGTACTCATAGATATCCCTCGTCACTTTGGACACAAAGGCCAACACTCGTTTGCATAGACAGTGCTTGAACATTGGAAGTAGCTTTGCCTTTGTAATATATTTGATTAGTCCCTGACTATTAATCTGTTGACATTGTCTCTTCGGGCTGACTTTCTATGAAGACGAAGAAAGACGATTCTTATCAGGTGCGCGGATCTTTGTCGTGTCTGCCTTAAGTCCTTCTAATCAGTTGAGTATTCGGTATTTTATCGATCTCTGTTCTCTCAGCCGAACGAGCATGCCACGCATACCGTAGAATGACGGCATCGACTCCGTAAATAGCATAAATTTATGCCACGAAAGCATCGGGATACAGGACCATTGACACCTGGCAGTCGGGACTCGTTCTAGATGCGGTACGTGTTCTCGCCCAAGTAGCCGTATGTGTCTGCAATCATACGTATGCATCTAACGCTCACATGCAGGAATACTTCTCAGTCTCCCTATTCATAAGCAGAGAGCCAGAAGAGTAGTGGGGATGGCTTTCGTTCTATTTCCCTGAACAACCTCTGGAGCGCCACGTTCTCAACAATCTTCTCTACTTCCACAATAGCCACGTGCAGCATCTGGTGTATCGCGGTTCGTCACAGAAGGTACGGAATGAGCTGAGGTATGCTCTTCTGCTCCATAGCCAACAGAGTTTTATCGCTGTTCTGGAAAAACGACACGGCGATGATGCACACCTCTGCATAGATACCGGCTGCATAGATAACTACGACGAGCCTTTAGCTTCAATTTTTAGAATTTGAATGTCGATAATCGGTGAGCCTGCCGTCTCTGCGGCATCAACGGTCGATGGCATCTAATAAACCGAGCACTGGTCGCAGCATTTCTGACGCCACATCTGGATCGCACTAGGCTACGAGGTGGCGTTGCCCTCGACTGCTTCCTGCTGATACAAATGTCGATAACTTGGCTGCAGCGATAAGAGCGTTGATGTCGTAGTAGACTAGTACCCTATAAAGCTCTGAAGGAAGAATGAAGCGACCACACTTGTCGTTATGAGTTCATCCGACACACTCGTCCCACTGGCAGGGTCAGATTCCGACTCGCCCTCGCCCACGGAAATCATGATGGTGGTTCCCCCGCTGCTGACTTTTTTCGTCCGGGTCGCCCACCTCGTCACCAACAGCTACGGCACCGACTGATGTAGTCATATCTGTAAATACCAAGCTCGTGACACACACTATCCTAGCTAGTTCAGTATCCGCATCTGTGAGTAACCTCTGCTCCTCGGATGACATCACACTCATCAGCAGGTAACACACTTAGAAAGCTGTGTCCCCAACGGCAGATAGTCATGCTGGAACTGTCCATGGGCCTTCTATAGGTGCCATAGTGGCAGCCTCGGCAGGAGGAGGCGTTATCGTAACACTGTTGTGTCTCATTTTATGGCGAGAAATTGTGCGGCGCAAGAGGGCAAACGCTGGCGGTACGTCCTTCAGTCAGAATTGCCACTGAATACATCTTACCCACACCGAATTATGTGAGTTTTGTCAGATAAATCTCTCTCTGAGGATAGTACGGCTTTCATAGAAGATCGCGCAGTCTCAGAAGTAGTATCTCAAGTCTCAGAGGCCCCTTCAGAGACTGGGTTAGACTCTGCAGATGCTGTCGGGAAGGATCCTTCTTCATCTTTCTCGAGTCAGCGAGCCACCTACGTTGCCTCTCACTTTGTGCGTTCCGTGTCCACCCCTGCGACTCCAGTGAAGGCCCTACCTCCACAAGCGGCGTGTCCTGCGCCCGATGGCGAGGAAGAAGAGTCAAACCACGATCACGAGACCCACGCAGAAGAGCCATCCAGCTCGGAAAGGAGATACGCAGAGGACGGTTGGAGTCAGACTGGCAGGCGGTAGGCTTCGACTTGGAGGTCCAATTCCAACCGTGCGCTCGGCTGCCGCACCTTCACCTTGTAGTACCCTACCACCGCCTTATGCGGAATATTCGTAGACGCCGCCTCTCTTTGCCAGACCTCCGATTATGCCCGCTTGCCTAGACGTTATTCAAGTTCTTGGAGTAAAGCTGCCTTTGTCATGTTTGTTTCGCGAGAAATTGCATGGTTTAGTTTGACATCGCCGTCTATTAATGTGTGTTGCTCTTGACCTTAGGTCCCGATAGGTATATTTTGGAGCTTAAGAACCTTGAGCCAGCAAAGTTCGTCGAAGCCGACGGGTTCTTTGCATTGAACAGTGGCTTCACACTAGCATGAAATGGCCTGAGAGCGCAGCACGAGTACCTCGTACGAGGGGGTGAGGTCAGAACTGTCTGCAGTGGACGTGTTACGCAAGGCCGATGTGTACGGGCCATGAGAAAAATGGGATGTCCGGGGTCCTGGCTTCATTTGGCAGCCTAAAGCTTCGGGTTCTAACAACGTCCCCTTGTCACCGCGGGAGCGATGCCACCATCTTGCTCGCGCTACAGCTGCCGCAGTACACCAGGATCACCGCTGACCACATCGACATGAGCCTGGTCTCTCATCTCGACCTCATGGCCGCCCATCTCCTGCGCGGACAGGCTCGTGGGCGGCGACACCGTTCAGTTCGGGCTCGAATGAGACTATATCATGCTCGAGTCGTCAAGCTCGTCGCCGACAGTAGCACCTTCGGCGCTTTCTTGGCCAGTCTCCTACTCGGCAGCATCCGCCACGTCGCTGTCTCGACCTCCCGCGACGCCTCTGTAGCGCCGGTTGGCCATGGCCAGTTCATCTGCGAACCTCTATTTCATGTCCAGACGCTCGCCGTTCAAAACTGCGATCTTGCGTGGCTCGGTACGGTGCTCTTGGACGAGTCCAGCCCGTTGCCGGATCTATACATCCTGGAGCTCGTGGCCTACAGCTTCCCGTCCGTGTGCGAACCGTGCGGGGACTGTGTACACACGCTGGTATCTATCAAAGTAAGCACGCGTATTACTTCACTACGGGGTCTTCGGATTTTCAACATCACACCCAGCATGGTACAAAAATTAGAGTAGATATATCGCTTGTATCCAACAACTTCAGTTTTAATACTATATAGGGGTTGACTAGGACTATTAGTAACGCGAGAGTTCTAGCAACCATTTCCTACTTTATCGATCGTTTGCACGAGAGGACAGATGAGTTCCTTTTCGCCGCCCATTTTCTACTGTTGTGACAAAAGAAGATCATCACAGCAACTCAAAGCAAAGCGCATTCATGAACTTGGTGTCACAGGCAGCAGAACTCGCACTCAAATATTCTCGCTCCATCGCCCAAGCTCCAATCGGCCGCTAGATTGTGTCAGTGGCATATGGTCGCGCACAAACGGTTCGTACTTGTCGTAAAGTTTGCCAGGTACCCAGACGGAAAATACTGTCGTATGGAGGGCAAGTGCTCGCTGATCGAGGGTCGCCCAGTCGAATCCGAGCGACTCGGGGGGCTCTTCCTTCCGCCCTATCATAACGAGCGGGGCCCTGATGTGAAAAAGAACGTTTGCAACATGGCCGTCGGGGGAGAGCAGGACAACGAGCTCATGGACCGCGTTCCATATCTTGAGCGCCGTACAGTCTGGATCCATCCTGCTCAGCTCTCGTTCGCCCAGCAGCCATGTGGAAGATTGAGTACGCACCTGGAAACATCTCGTAATCAAACTTGCCAGGTTTCTCTTCCTTCAGAGTTGCCCGCCCTGGCTTGCGTGCACCGCAGGCTGTGCACGCGCAGTCATCGATGACCGTCTGCACGAGCGCCATGAGCCTGCGTACTTCTATGCCGTCGACAAAAGGCGGCGCTCTATTCTCAGATGGCTGCGCGCGTTCTGCGGTGATCAGGAGCCAAACGAGCGGCCACACGGCCGGGCAGCGAACTAAAGCAATAGTTTTGAAGCATTTCTTCCAGCAGCGTCGCCCACCACGAAACGCGGCAGGTATTTCTGACGGCACAAGTGCGCTGCTGTCCGCCCAGGTGACTTGATGGAGAGTCAGCTGCCCGCTGCACGAGTCGGGCTTGGGCGCAATGAAGGAGTCAAGGAAAGAGACCAAGTGCGCAAATGCGATGAAGCGTAGCTTGGTAAGGTTGAGAGAGATGGGATGTTTTGTGGCTGGGAGTGTGCATGGGAGACCGTGGAGTACAGAACGAGGGGCGAAGGGCTTCAGCTCGGGAGTCCCATTGAAAGGAGTCTCGGATATCCATACCCAGTAACCACTCAGATTTGGAAATGTGTCTTGAGGAATGGTATTTACCACGAGATGAATCCACGGAAACGAAGGGACCGTTATGCGAAGGGTGATGGTAGAAACATACATCCCAATATGAATGCCAAGTGTGGCTGTTTTCACAAATTCGAGCAAGCGCCGGGCGTCCTCGATGGCCCGAAGCTCAACATTCCTGAACATGGGCTCACGACAGTGCTTCGCCCAGTAGCGGCAGACGAGGGAGCATTGTCCAAGTTCGTGCTTCAGCCGCGTGGTATATCTTCTGACATCCTCCGCTGTGTCTGCGGCCTTATACCCCCTCCACGGTGTCTTTTGGACCAACTCCCAAGGGATCAATTGATTGACAATTGGTTTGAAGAGCTCTTGTGGTATCCGACCTGCAATAGAGGTATCCGCTGGCGGCAGATGGCTGGATAGAGGAGCTTGAACCTTTGAAGTATCAATCAGAGCACCAGAGGAAACAGCCTGAGGGTCGGCATGATGCGAGGTGACGAAATAGCGCCGCAGGAACTCCTGATAATTAGGCCCACGCTCCCGCGGATCGATGTGCTTGCCTTTCCGCAGATTCACACCATTCTGCGGGGACGGCTCTTGATCGGTTTTCTCCTTGATCATTGCATGGACACCAGCAGTAGCCGGCGCGCTGAGGGTAGAGCCATACGAGTCTTTGCGGGCACATTCGACCAAGCTGGGCGCGGAGTGACGTGGTGCCGGCACGAGGCGAGGTTTTTCGACAACATCAAGAGCGTTAGTATCGGGAAGGGGAGCGTCGCGGGCGGAGGAGTAGTCGGGTGCAACAACGACAGCAGGCGCCTCCAAGTCGACAGTGGGCGGGATGATGGGTAGAGAGTCAAGGGCATCGTCTTTGGGTATAGGTGCCACATCTCCATCTGTCTTGTCGCTGTACCCTAGTGTCTCGACCTCAGCTGGTGCCATGAGGATATGGCGACGATAAGAGTCGCACACCAAGGGTGTAGTGGTAGTGACACCGGAAGAGCCTCCGACGCTTTCCGTTGTAGTGAAAGATGCGTAAGAAAATTGCGGCTCTTGCGACGAGCGGGACCGTTTAGCACATACGGTCTGATCAGTAATGATGGCCGTGTCGCCACTCAGGCTGGCAATAACGAAGTCCTCGGACCCGGCCGGCGAGCCTGGAGACTCTCCAGTAGCCATTGTGGCTTCGTGCGAAGGTGGTTTCTCGCCTAACTTCTTCGCAGATCTGACCATGTCTAGGTAGAAATCGCAATAGACTGTACGCTGCTCGATTGATCTAACGCTGGCAAATGCGCTTAGCTTAGCAGACATACAGCTCTGAGGACCAATATCGACACACCTATGAGGAGAGAATGATTGTAAGATCTTCAAAACAAGTATTTCGAGGACGGTCTCGTGCGGGCGGAGAGGCAGTGTTACTGCCGCGCGATATCCAGATATCCGCTAGGTTACCGATTTTATACATGGCAACACTTGTTGCAGCGCAACCAGCAGCTGGGCTTCAAGCTCAAGCTTCAAAACTTCGGGTGCCGAACGTTGCATGTCTACGCAGCCACCACAAACCGCATAGCTCCTCGTACTGGTTACTCGCTGTGACGGCTAGGTTCTGTGCGGGGCCATATTGTGCGCGCTTCGCTCCAGATGGAGGCACGTGACGCAACGACGCCCAAATTGGACGCCGTCAGCGGGCACACAACTTTCAGAGCTTCAAAAGTACCCAAGCTCAAGCTCAAGGCCAACGTCTTCCGAGGCGAGTACTACTACTTGCCGCGGATTCTCTTAAACAATTACTGCATTATGTTTGTGCCGCCCTGCCAAGAATGTCCACAGAAGAACCACATTAATTTTTCAGCTTCCAAGCCCTACAAAAAAGGACACTCGTCAACCACCAAACACGAGAAACTCAGGTGCTACCCAAACCTTCTACCTAAGATTGCTGTTCTCTTTTCTATTGTTTCACTCAGCCCGGCTGCCGGTATTTGCTCATGGAACTTTCGAGATGCCCAAATCCTCAAACTCCACTAGTTGCTGTTGTATTCAAGTCTCCTGCAGCTGTAGCATCTAACACTGCGTCCCTTTTGCAGATTATGTGTACGATAGCGAATCTCGCTCTTAGGAGCTTGTGCCTAATCGCGCTCGCGTCGTGTCGTGGCGACAAGCTCGCGCGCCCCAGGCCTCGGCTCTAGGACAGCTTGCCTTATGTAGCTGATAGGGACGCGCGCGCGTAGGCACTCGTGAAATTCAAACTTGGAAATAATCACCTATGCTGGAGTGTAAAAAGCTATCTCAGTTTTTCCCTCGGGTATATCTCGCTATATGTGAGTGCGCACGAGAAACTTGAAGCGTACCTAGACTACGCGTCGACACGGAAAGCCCGGGCTTCGTATACGTCTGCAGCGTTCACATGCTGAAGCTTGCATGACGCAAGATATACCTGCGTTACACATCTCGTATCCTGCGGCTCGTGATTCGTCCCGCTCAAGGCGAGATGGTGGAGTGTTGTGGGCGCTCAATGCCCGAGCCTGCTTGCTCGACGCCACGATGCCCTTGATACTCCACCGCCAGGTACAAGCCATCCTGGACTGTCGTCACATCATGGTCACCATATCCTCCTTGTTCTTAAACTATTTCCCTTGTACATCTTTACCACACTCCATTATACCCCCTTATGCTTCCCTGACAATCCTCGAGCACGAACGACCATGTCCCAAGTTACTCCCGCAAAGGCCCAAAACACGGACTCGCAGACGTTTCTTACAGCTCTCGTAACAAACGCGGCCATACTTTCCCTCGAGATTATCGCCTTTGTCTTCCTCAAGCATCGGCTGAGTAGGATCTATGAGCCCCGGACATACCTACCTCCCCCATCGTACGTCGTACTTTCGCTCTTCCCGAGAACGCGCTGACCGATTTACAGGAAACGTGCCGTCAAATTACCGAGTGGATGGTGGAGATGGACGCTAGCAATCGCGGCGATACCCACAGGGGACGTGGTGCGTCAGCTAACGAGTGCCAGCGCGAGTGCTATCTGACGTGTCGAATTGGTTTCAGCTGCAGAAGAATGGCATGGACGCGTACATGTTCTTGCGCTTCCTGCGACTCCTCGTCATTCTCTTTGCTTCTATCACTGTTCTCTCCTGCGGCATTCTCTTGCCAGTGGATACTGCCGGCCTGACCGAAGACAACTTCTCCGACAAGCTCGCGCGGTTGAGCTGGGGAAAGTATGTCGATTTTCAACCTTGTCCTTTATACCTGCTAAATATCTCTTTCTGAAGCATTCCACCAGATGCCACCGGTCGTTATGCTGCTCACGTCGCTGTTGTCTGGCTCTCGACGTTCTGGACGTGTTACCTCATTCGGCGCGAACTACAGCATTACACGAAGATGCGCCACGAATTCCTCATATCTCCTGCGCATTCATCGTTAGCACAGGCGCGAACAGTCCTCATCACGAACATACCTGTAGAGATGTGCAACGAGCACGAGCTCCGACGCTGGGCAAGCTTCGTGCCTGGAGGTGTACAAAACATATGGATATATCGTGATACGCAAGTGCGTTTTTGTAGCCGCATTTCGAAGTCGAATATGCTCAACCACTGTACAGGACCTGAACAAAGACTATACTGCCCGCCTGAAAGCATGCAAGAAGCTCGAGAAAGCGGCCTCAAAGCTCATCCGCACTGTCGTCAAGGCGAAACGCAAGCAGGACGCGGCCTCTGAGAAGCAATACCGCAAGACGCACAAGGACGAGATCCGCAAGAACGAACGTGAAGAGAAGCAACGCGTCAAAGAGCAGAAGTCTCTCGAACGTCAGCATCGGAAGGAGGAGAAGGCGCAAAGGAAAGATGAGAAGAAAGAGCTGAGGATCTTGGGGAAGAGGCATAAGGAGGGAGAAGCAGAGGCACGACGCGCAGAGGAAGAATACGCACGAGCGCACGGGATGTCCTACCCTATGTCTCCCCGCTCTGCAGTCTCAGACGACGGCCGCGCACGGCCAAGCGCAGATACGGCACTGACGGCCGTCGATAGCCCAAATACGAACGGACATGGCGAGCACAAGGGCAATACCTCGTATGATGAAGGCGTGTCCGACCGTGTTAGTGGTATTGCTAACGACGAGGCCGGTCGTGCAGCAGCCTCTAGGCCGAGACGGGAGCGCACGACAACGAGCGAGCTCGAAGCCGGCCAGCGTTCTCCCTCGCTTGCTTCACCAAGCGGCCCAGGTGATGGTAGTGAAGATGCAGACAATGACTCAGAGAGGCTGCTCGACCTGTACGCCCCACCGAACAAGCGGCCGCGGCACAGAACTGGGTTCCTTGGCCTCTTCGGCCGTAAGGTAGACACGATCGAATGGTACAAGGTACGCACGCTGTCAAATACATTTCTGACCTGGATGCTCATGCGCGGCACGTTCGCAGGACGAGATCGCTCGCCTGAACACTAGTATCAACGAGAAGCGTGGCGACCTGTACGACCGTGGCAAGGATGCTCCCCGCCCTCTTGGGAGCGCATTCATCCAATGCAACCTACAGATGGGTGCGCACGTACTGGCGCAGTGCATCAGCTACCATGCGCCGCTCGCGATGTATGACAAGTACGTCGAGGTCTCGCCGCGAGATGTTATTTGGGACAATATCGACGTACGCTGCCATCCTCTCGTGTTCCTTGCGTCCTCGAGCTAATGCGATTTGTATTCACAGGATGGCGCGTACGAGACCCGTTTCCGCTACGTCACGTCGTGGCTTGGCAGCGTTGTCCTCATTATTATATGGTTCGCACCCGTTGCATTCGTTGGCACGCTCAGCAACGTTGCAACGCTCTGTGAGAAGCTGTCATGGACGTGCTGGATTCGGGACGCCCCAACACCCGTGCCGGGAATAATCCAGGGCATTCTTCCACCACTTTTCCTCGCCATCCTCTTTGCAATATTGCCATGGGTACTTAAGGGTCAGTTCCTTCAATCGCGACAGAAACGGACTTCTAGAGCTAACCGTGATTTGCAGGCCTTGCATGGTATGAGAATATACCCCGGTGGTCGCTGCTCTCGATGAGCGTGTACAAGCGATACTTCTTTTTCCTCGTCGTGTAAGTCTACCGCGATAGCCTAACAAGGGTAATGCTAATGAACTTGCGTAGACACGGCTTCCTTATCGTCACGCTCAGCTCCGGATTCGCAAGTGCAGCATCAAATGTACGTTCGCTCTGTCTCCGAGCCCCAAAATCTGTACTTATCCTAGATCAGATTGCCAAAGACCCCACCACCACTGTTGCCGACCTCGCCAGCCAGCTCCCGAACGCGTCGATCTTCTTCCTCACCTGGACACGTGCGTCTCTTGTTTTATCCCTCGGTCTCTACTAGTAGGCTAACTAGTTCTGCAGTGACTCAGGGTCTGACAGGTGCCGGTAGCGCGCTGCTGCAGGTCGGCCAGCTCATCGGTCACTTCGTTAGGAAATGGCTCCTCGGCCGCACTCCGCGCCAGGCGTACGCAGTGACATTCATGATGCCCAAGGCAAGTTTATCCAATGTTTTCCCCCAGAATCGTAGCACTGATGTCGTAGTTTACCCCCAGGCTAACTTTGGCCTTGTCTTACCGAGGATATCCCTCCTTGCAACGATTGGCCTTGCGTATAGCGTCATATCACCAATCATCAACCCTCTCGCTACCGTATCATTTATGCTATTCTTTCTTTCGTGGAAGTTCCGTAAGTGTATTTGTCTGTTCGTCAACGAATGGCGTTCAATATGTGGACTTGCAGTGCTGACATGGGTATTCGACCAACCGGACGAGGCAGAGACAGGCGGACAATACGTGAGTTTTGGCAGTCTCGAGTTGCACGAATACTGATGTGATCTGCGCAGTTTCCGCTTGCAATCAATTTCCTCTGTATGTTTGCTGCTCCCCGTCTCATTCTGTGTCGCTCATGGCTGCATCCTAGTCGTCGGCATGTACATCGAGCAAACCTGTCTTGCTGCGCTCTTTTTCCTCAACGTGGCGAACAACCTTGTCTTCATCGTCGAAGGTGTACTCATGGTCATCCTCATGATTTTCACGTTATGCGCGCAGATCTTGCTTCGGCGCAGTTTCCTTCGTGAGTGTCTATCCGGAGGGTTAGACCAAGAGGCGAAATGCTAATGGACAACGTAGCGATTACACAATTCCTGCCGATGTCACTGGCGACGAAGCAGATGCAGGAGCGCTGGGAACGCGAGAGAAGGTGCCATCACGAACTCGACGAAGGTGGTGCAGAGAACCCGGACATGGATCTATTCAACGGAGACCGTAAGTAGCCCCCTTGGCGGAGGCAGCCCTGATGCTGATCGGCGGTCACAGGCATACGTTCCATCATGCACCGACGCATCCAAAACCCCGTCAAGAAGTTTGCCCAGGAGGTGCAGAAAAACGTTGCCATGACAGCGAACATCGGTCCGACGCTCATGACCGCCGGCTCCGGCGAGGGCAAGCTGAGTGCAATGACATCCGCACATGCAGTCAGCAACGCGAACGTCAATGAGGAGCTACCTCGTCCCACGGCGCAACGCACCAAGTCAGCGCGCCATCTGCGTATCCCGACGGCCGACACAGGCGAGACTCAGGATGTCCAGAAATTCCCCAACTTTGCGCCGCCTACCCGTCGCGAGGCTCAAGGCGAGGACCAGGAAGACCTTGATAAGGATTTCGACGTCCATGGGTTCGATCATCCAAGCACGTACGAACACCAGCAGTGGGTGTGGCTCCCGCGGGACCCGCTCGGAATTAGTCATCTGTTGGTGAAAGAGCTCTGCGCGGCGGGCGTTGAGGCGAGCGACGAGGGTGCTGACATGGATGAGAAGGGCACAGTTGAGGCCACGAGGAACCCACCGGATCAGGACTGGGAGGGTGGGCGCGATGCATAGATTCAAGTCAATTTAAGTTGTTATAACGTGTTATACCACACTGACAATGAGAATTACATGTGATTTCAACGCATACTTTGCCCTATGTACTCTAGTGCATTAGTACATGCCATTTTATGGACTACAAAAGCTGTAAGCACATTGCGCACTCTATAGCTGTTCAATATGCAGCACCTTGCGACCACAAACAACGCTACACGAATTCGAACATCTTCTTCGTCAGAGTCATCGCTTGACGGCCTCGACTTCCAAATGACCTCTCGATTCCATCAATGGCATGTGGCCACGCATGAACGACTCGAACTCGTCATGGAGCACTTCAGGTATTTTCGCAGAGAACGCCACGGCCCATTCGAAGGCAGCCACCCGCTGGTCAAGGGCCGCCCAGTCGAATCCGAGCTCCTCAGGAGATCCAAGACGCATATCTTCGTCAAAATACCAGCCCCTAATATCGAAGTGGATCTTGGTAACGTGGCCATCAAATACCGTGAAACTGAAACCGTGAACTCCATGAATGATTATAACGCGCTCGTCTCCAAGTCCGCCTGAAGCTGACCAACTTAGCTCGCACCTACCATACGTACGTGCAGGGGCAGATCGAGCACACACCTGTAAGATACGTAGGCCTCAGCGACGCAGACCTTAACTCGGACTGCTTACAAGCAGTGCACTTGCAATTGTCCACGAGCGCTTCCACGAGCGCTGCGAGCCGGCGCACTTCTGCACCATCGAGGAACACCGGCGTTCTGTGCTGAGATGGCCGAGGACGTTCTGTGGTGACTACAAGCCAAATGAGTGGCCAAATCGCCGTGCAGCCGAATGTTTCAATAGACATGAAGCACTTCCGCCAGCAGCGACGCATGCCGCGGAATGCAACCGGTGTTTCTGAGGGCGTCAGGGCGTCGCCGTCCGCCCAAGTAACTTCCTCGAGCGACAGTCTCTTCGCGCCACATGACTCCGAGTGGAGCTTGATAGCAATGAACGAGCTGAGGAAGGAGACCAGATCGGCGAATGCGGCGAAGCGCTGGCCACTCAGGGCGACATCGTCGATGGAGCACTTGGTGGCGGGGAGTGAGCGTGGGAGGCCGTAGAATACGGAGCGAGGGGCATAAAATCCCGGCTCATTAAGCGTTATGGATTCACTGGGCTTGAGTACATTGAAGGTGTAGTTCTCCACGAACGGAAATGCGTCGAGAGGAATGGTGTTAACGACGAGGTGAATCCACGGAGGCGAGGGCATCGTGATGCAGATGGCGATGCCAAAGACATACCACCCAACACTGATGTCTAGAGTGATCGTATTCGCAAATTCAAACAAACGATGGACGTCCTCAGCTGCCCGAAGCTCGATGTACCTGAACAGGGGAGGACGGCAGGACGGCAGTGCATCGCCCAGAAATGACAAACGAGGGAGCATTGCCCAAGTTCATGCTTTAGCTGCTTCTTGCGCTCTACGTGGTCCTGGTCCGACGCGAGGGAAAGCAAGAGTGGATTCTCCAGTTCTCGAGGTATCAAGTGCTTTATAATCGTTTTGAACAACTCCTGCGGTATCCGATGTGCGACTACGGAGACGTTCGAAGTCATCTGGTAAGAAACAAGTTCAATCAGACCCATATACTACCCTGAGGGCCATACGTTGATATACCTCGACAAGCAAACTGCTTTGAGATTCTCAGAACGAGTGCGTCGAGGACAAGGACAGAAAGGCTGCGAGGGCGGCGGTGCTGTCCGGCTGTCGTGCCCCCTCCACGTGCCTGTCACGATTAGGACGACCCTGGATGCAT